ACATTCTAAAATTAACCCATACATCTTGGCTAACATCAACAGCGAGTGTTATGTGACCCGGCCCCAGGTCAGCAAAACACACACATCGACCAGTGTGGTGAAGTATTGTCAATCTCCATGACTAATGAGGTGTGGGAGAGGCATATGCCCCATCCCGCAAACGGTGAAGTATTGTCAAACAATCTCCATGACTAATGAGGTGTGGGAGAGGCATATGCCCCATCACGCAAACGGTTACCATTGATCCGAGTTGGTTTTATGTACACGAAATGAATGCGTTAATAAATGCTATTATTTATCCCGTGACTTTGGTAACTGAGGACTAGTCAATGGTGATGCAAATTTCTGCTCTTTAAACAAGCCATTAAAATATATTAATACATAATAACAAAAAATAACGATTCCAGAATCGAGATGTTATCACCAAAATACCTTTTTATTTTTGTCAAAATGTGTAAACAGCGAATCATCACTGAACACAAACTCCATCCACACGTCGATTTCACCACGTAAATGAATAAAAACAAGAGTGTCCTTCATGACGCAATAAATCATTCTTACCCTTCGTGCCTTTTTGCACGCACACCACATTAACCACGTAACTCTGAACAAATATCCCTCGCCTACATTTTGGCCTTATTATAAAAGCAAACACTGCCCACAAGTGTCAAGCGGTATTTATCTCCGATATAACAAATCCTGCTCACGCACAAAGTTATGAACTCGGAGGAACCCGTGTGCCACGACCGCACGAGCTGCCGCCTCGCTGAAACAGAATAACCCTGAAGCACAACCACGTGGCGTGGACAAACTGGGGCCGGCGCCGGCCCCAGCACGGCTTACGCTCGCCGACGCGCTTCCACATCGTGCGCTTTCGCCCTGCAAGCCGTGCCCCGCCGCTTCTTCTGGGACGGAGCTGGAGAAGTTCCCCCGGGGCGAAACGTCGGACATCGTGACCCGAAAGCAGCGAGCCCGCAGCGGCGCCCACCGCCGGAACCTCGCGCAGTTGGTACGCGCGCGGGGGGGGGGGGGGAAACGCTCTACTCTCGCTCCTACCCGCGGCCAGATGCCAAATCTGAAGAGCAGAAATCCCGGGCTGTAAAGATGTACACGCGCGTGCGCGCACACACACACAGGTTATACGTACTGCGACGTTGGGGGGAGGGGGCGTCAGTTGTGGCACAGCGGTTCGAGCGTTGCGTTATAACCCAGCAACCCACGCCGAGCGACGAGGTGAGTGAGGCATGGTCACACAAATCCCACGACCCGCAAGGTGCGAGGAGGCGCATACCCAGCAGTGGATAGGGCTACATTTTTTTTTTATGAAATGCTACATCATATGCAGCTAATGCATTTCATGGTAATAACAGTGGTTCGACATGCAAGCTTTAAAGTGGCTCACTGCTCAAATTAGCATTCGGGGGGGGGGGGCTCATCTCCTCTTTACAGTCCTGTATCGCCGGTGGCGGGAATTCCACATTTCTATGGCGGGGGCAAGTTTATCCAGAGAACAAAACACATTCGACTTCCCCACAAAATGCTGTGCTCGTTGTAACCACCCCGAGGAGGGACGATGGGCCGAGTCAACCCCCAACCAGGATGTGAAATCGTAAGCTTTTGATCGGGAGCCACTCGCTCTACCTGCGGAGCCACTTGATGCTCGCCACCCAAGAATTGCTGCACGCGGCTGTACAGGAACGACAGTGGCAGTCGGTAATAATAATACCAAGCTAACGTTTAAGCTAGAAAACTTACTATCTTTATTCTACCCACCGAGCTGCACATCTCTTTTTCAGAAGCGACCTGGCCAACAAACGACAGCTCAACGAAGTGGCGGCTTATCACGTGGACATTTACAGCAGCCAAATGACTCTCAACGTGTTTCTGAATGTGGAGGGGGAACAAACAGGACTCGAAAAATGATCCACGCGAGCATGGGGAAAACACGCAAACTCCTAATATACTGCAGCAGGCGTCAGGGTCGGGATCGAACCCACGAGCTCCTGCATACCAGGCGAGGCAGTTGACATCTCCTAGCCACCGTGATGATGATGATGATGATGAGAGAGAGACATGCAAACTCCAAATATACAGCAGCAGGCGTCAGGGTCGGATCGAACCCACGAGCTCCTGCATACCAGGCGAGGCAGTTGACATCTAGCCACCGTGATGATGATGATGAGAGAGACATGCAAACTCCAAATATACAGCAGCAGGCGTCAGGGTCGGGATCGAACCCACGAGCTCCTGCACACCAGGCGAGGTAGTTAACATCTCTCCACCGTGGCACCCAATGCACGATTTTCACTGTGCATTTTGATAACCCAACTGCAGCAGCAGCAGCAGCAGCAGCACTGACTAAAGCCGATATAACCACGATAATATTGTGGGTGGTGGCGATTCCCCATACCGAGAGGTCGCCGATAACCGACGACAAACCTAATAAATAAGAAATAAATAAGTCACATTTTTGTTAGTTTTTTGGCAGATGTTTTACGGATGAAGGGCGATCCATTCATAGATACCCCACCAACACCGTACCGATGTACATTGACCGAGATTGGTTGCGGACGCGGGAGACACGCAGAAAGCTTTCGATCAGAATCTGATCCTCGTCCAGAATTTCTTCCCCAATCATTATAGTGGGGTATCTGTAAATAGATCAACTCTGTATTTTTGCAAGCGATCCATTCGCTGCTGGTAAAAGGGGCGATCCATTTACAGTCACCCCCACTGATTTTCGAATGTCCCTCCGATACCTCCTTCGGCCGCGTGGATACCGTGACAGCGGACGGCTCCCCTGTCTCACAGAGCAGAGGGTTTCACAGATTTCACGAGCGTGTTCAGATGGGTAGGAGACCTGTAGCGGCGCTTTCTAAACACACTGTTGTTTTTCCTACTCCCCCGTCCTATTTCGGTGGGCTTCACGTATTATTAAAATGGAAATGAAATCGGCGCACGCGATGGTGCCGGGTGGATTAATGCCACGTCGCCAGATCGTGAAAGGTTGCAGCGGTTTGGGGAGAGACCTTTGTCCACCAGTGGAGTGACCATGACCGAGGATCATTGCGACAGGGCCCGGCGTGGTGCCCGTTGAGCGTTGGCCGCTCGTTCGATTCCAGAGGGCCGCCCCGGTCACTACTGCGGTACCCAGAGGGCCTCCCCGGTCACTACTGCGGTACCCAGGGGGCCTCCCCGGTTACTACTGCGGTACCCAGAGGGCCTCCCCGGTCACTACTGCGGTACCCAGAGGGCCTCCCCGGTCACTACTGCGGTACCCAGAGGGCCTCCCCGGTTACTACTGCGGTACCCAGAGGGCCTCCCCGGTCACTACTGCGGTACCCAGAGGGCCGCCCCGGTCACTACTGCGGTACCCAGAGGGCCTCCCCGGTCACTACTGCGGTACCCAGAGGGCCTCCCCGGTCACTACTGCGGTACCCAGAGGGCCTCCCCGGTCACTACTGCGGTACCCAGAGGGCCTCCCCGGTTACTACTGCGGTACCCAGAGGGCCTCCCCGGTCACTACTGCGGTACCCAGAGGGCCGCCCCGGTCACTACTGCGGTACCCAGAGGGCCTCCCCGGTCACTACTGCGGTACCCAGGGGGCCTCCCCGGTTACTACTGCGGTACCCAGAGGGCCTCCCCGGTTACTACTGCGGTACCCAGAGGGCCTCCCCGGTAACTACTGCGGTACCCAGAGGGCCTCCCCGGTCACTACTGCGGTACCCAGAGGGCCTCCCCGGTTACTACTGCGGTACCCAGAGGGCCTCCCCGGCTACTACTGCGGTACCCAGAGGGCCGCCCCCGGTCACTACTGCGGTACCCAGAGGGCCTCCCCGGTCACTACTGCGGTACCCAGAGGGCCTCCCCGGTTACTACTGCGGTACCCAGAGGGCCTCCCCGGTTACTACTGCGGTACCCAGAGGGCCTCCCCGGTCACTACTGCGGTACCCAGAGGGCCTCCCCGGTCACTACTGCGGTACCCAGAGGGCCTCCCCGGTTACTACTGCGGTACCCAGAGGGCCTCCCCGGTTACTACTGCGGTACCCAGAGGGCCTCCCCGGTCACTACTGCGGTACCCAGAGGGCCGCCCCGGTCACTACTGCGGTACCCAGAGGGCCTCCCCGGTTTACTACTGCGGTACCCAGAGGGCCTCCCCGGTTACTACTGCGGTACCCAGAGGGCCGCCCCGGTTACTACTGCGGTATCCAGAGGGCCTCCCCGGTTACTACTGTGGTACCCAGAGGGCCTCCCCGGTCACTACTGCGGTACCCAGAGGGCCTCCCTGGTTACTACTGCGGTACCCAGAGGGCCGCCCCGGTCACTACTGCGGTACCCAGAGGGCCGCCCCGGTCACTACTGCGGTACCCAGAGGGCCTCCCCGGTCACTACTGCGGTGACGTCGTTCGCAAGAGTAGGCCAGTGTGTGCCCGGGCATTAAGGTCCACGTTTGAAAAGATTACATGGAGATTTCAGCGCTCGACTGGGATTAACACACACACACGCACGCACACGGCAAAACTATTGCAGACCACGCGGGGTGAACATGGCACGTTTGCCCTTGTTAGCCTTGCGCTAGAAGAATGGCACAAATATCCCATGCACTAAATATTGTAAGTACCACGACGATGACGCGATCTGTAAATGTAACACCCTCTATATAAATATGGAGTAAATAAATCCGCGTTACATCACAAACCAAATAAGGGTGCGACGATTTAAAATAGCCTCCTGCGTTTCGCAATGCGCACGTCGAATATTTAATAATTATCCAAATTGTGGCCAGGCTGCGCTAAGTCCTTGCTTAACGCGCGGCGGCGTTCACACAACTGATTGTCGCGATGGCACGGTGCTCGTCCGTTCAGGAATACAGTGAAACCTTGGATTGCGAGCATAATTCGTTCCGGAAACGTGTTTGTAATCCAAAGCACTCGTATATCAAAGCACTCGTATATCAGTTGTGATCACGTGACGCTCGGCAGTACAAAGCGTGTACACGTACACCACTCGTATTGCATGACCCTCGCTCGTTTATCAAATTCATATTTAGTTAAAATTTTTGCTCGTCTTGCCAAACACTCGCAGACCGAGTTACTCGCAATCCAAGGTTCTACTGTCCTTTTCGCATAATTCGGAACGCACACCCCCAGTACAAACGCGGTTTCCGAGCGGTTGACTATCAACGACTTTCTTGAGCTGCTCGGCTGAGCGGAGTGGACACAGGTGGAGAGGAGTAAAATAGGGAAGTGGCGTCATGTGTGCTGTCCAGAGCGATGACGTCATGGACGTGACGTCATGCACGCTGGGCGGCACAGTGACGTCATGCCTCCTCTAGTACTTAAGGGGGACCCCCCCCCTTCCCCCGTGACGTAAGCGGGGTCGTAGCTGGAGTCTAGGGTCGGGAGAGGGTGGAATGGGGAAGCCAGGGGGCAAGAGGGTAGGAATAGATGATAGCGCCAGGGCTGGAGGTGGCCGTGCTCCTCGGTCGGCCGTGTTGGCCGAACCCACGGCCGGTGCAGAGGAGGCAGCACAGGGCAGCCGGCTGTGACGGGAACTAGTGGGACCGAACCCGGGACCCCCAACCCCTGGGAAGTTGTTCACCCCTGTAGGTTATTGGTAATATCTTTAATAAACTTAACGGCGGAAGCCCTTAACCCGAACCCTCGTCTCCGAGTCGTCCGGAACTTCTCAGCACAAGCACGCAGAATGATACATCTCGCCAAACTTTAGAAACTTTACGGGGAAATAGTTCTTGCTCTGCAAACGCTTTTTTTTCGCTTAACGCGACGCTTTTCACGAACGCATCTACCGCGCGTTAAACGGGGGGGGGGGGGGGGACTTCGCTGTGCACGCTCAACGGTGAATTGCACAAAGCGGCGAGAACAACGAAAGGCGATCGAGATGCACCGGCGATGGAGAAACGAGACGACACAGAGCGCGCGCGAGGGAGAGAGATAAATTCTCGAATCAATTGTACCCAATCCCGGACCGTGAACATTCGCCCGCGACTCGTCGCACGCCTGCACCTCTCTCGCAATGAAACCCGACGAGCCTTCACCACCGGTCCACGAATGTAAACAAATAAATACGAATCCACAACCTCGCGAACGCCACGGACGATCACAAACTGGAGCGCTGTACGGGCGATGAGCGACCTGCATCTCACCTGAAGGACATCTGAATGGCCCCTTCCCCCCCGCCACAGGGGCAGCAGCTGTTCCCGTGTGCAGCACGACGTCATTCAGCACCTGGCCTGCAGGTGGGCGCGAGGCGGCTAGTAGGAGGGGGTGACCGCGGCCGTGTGCGTGATCTCATGCGAGCGTTGTTCTATCCGGGTCGTCCCTGCCGATCGTGCCTCCGCACCATCGCGAGTCGACCGTTTTCACATTACTGCTCCCTTCGGGGGCCGTGGCGTAAGTTGTGCGTGCGATGAATAAAATTCAAAATCTATTGACTGAAGAAAGAAAGAAAAAACAACCGACCCACGTAAACGAGTCGTATTGCCATCATAAGGGATTTGAACCCCGGGGTCAAAACACCGCAGAGTGCTTCGACTCCACGGTCACAAATTCTACGAGGTCGCAAAACACCAAGCAACAGCAGCGCCGGCAGCGGCCTTCACTTCTCCTGCTCCACGGCCACGGCGGCGTCGAGGGGCCTCGGGATGGGGACGGGCGGCCGGCCGCACCGCAGCCACGGCCGCTTGAGGGCCCCCCACATGAGCTGCACCTCGAAGGGCTCGAGGCTGTGAACGAGCAGCACCTCACGGTAGTAGCACGGGTGGAAGGACGAGAGGCCGTCGTCGCCCGCGCCGGCCCTGGGGTTGTGAATGCCGGCCGTGCGGAACTCGGCGTTCCGCCGGGGCGCCAGGCCCAGCAGCTCCAGGCACTGAGCAACGACGGCAGGAGGTGGTGGGGCGGGGGGGGTGGGAGGGAGACATTGAGACGTTGAGACATTGGCCACGCGTCCGGCTTCCCGTCGTCCGCTTCCCGTTCGCGTCAAGGTGGGGTTGGGGGTGCGGATGAGGAGGGCGTCGCGGTGTCGCGAGGCTCGGCGGTGAGATGTTAACTACCTCGTCTGGTATACAGGAGGACGGGGGTTCAAGCCTGACCGTGACGCCTGCTGTTTATTCGGAGTTTGCGTGTTCTCTCCGTGGTCGCGTGGAAATAAAATTCACGCGACCACGGGGAGAACAAGCAGTCGAATGAACACGCGTTGATTCTAAATTTTGGAGGGGGCGCAAAAGCGGAGGGGAACCCGGTGAAAAATTCCACGTGACTACCACAGGGAGGTGTCATCACGGGGCGGATGGAAGCCAGGACCACATCAAGCTGTGACGCCGTGGCGAGATGTTAACTACCTCGCCTGGTATGCAGGAGGTCGTGGGTTCGATCCCGACCCCGACGCCTGCTGTATATTTGGAGTTTGCATGGTTTCCCCGTGGTCACGTGGATTTTTTCTCCGGGTCCTCCCGTTTTATCCCACCACATTTAGAAACGTGCGTTGGGACTATTTAGATGATCTTGCTGCTATGAATGTCCAAATGATGGGGCCACTTAGTTGAGCTATCATTTGCGGCCAGGTCGTTTTTGAACAATAAGTTAATACCTCGGTGGACTTTGTCTGGTAGGATGGGGATGGTTTAGTTTTATTTGTCTGTGTTTGGATGATTTATTCACCTTCCTTGTATTTAGCACTGCTATTATGTTTTTGTCCTGTTTGTTGTTGTAACGTTCTTACATGTCCCCGACTGGACATCTGTGAAAAAGAGCTTCATAGCTCATCGTATTTCGCCGGTATAAATAAATAAATATATCTGATCCTGAGTGAAGGAGAACGCAGAGAAGCCACGCTCCCGCACGTTATTTCGAAACGCCTTCGAGCACGCGTTCGCATTTGCAATTGTTTAATTCACACTCTGGCTCGTCAGGAGAACGCAGAACGGCCGGTTGGACTAGTCCGTCGCCATCTGTTAGCATCTGGTACGGGGGATACAGCGTTGCCCCCTCACGGCCCGCTTCCTCCCACGTGCAGAATAAACACTCGTCACGAATTGGCCGAAAACGTCCCGAGACAAATAGAAACCCAGTGTAGCTGCAGGACCCTCCTGAGAAAAGAGTCCTATCACAACCCTGCAGCTTTCCTGAGTAAATAACCGACTTATTATAACTATTATGAGGATCATCCCCCCCCCCCCCCCGGCACTGACGGACGCACGCGCTCACCTGGCCGAAGAAGACGTCATCGATGGGGAGCAAGGGGACGGAGGGGGCCGCCTTGCGGATCTGCAGGGCCGTGTGGCCGCTCATGATGATCCCTCCGCCGCCCACGTACGGAGGGTAGCGCTCACTCTCCTGCACCTGCACGGGCACGTAGTACCTGGGCGGGGAGGGTCACACGGACGTCGCAAGGCGAGATGGAGGAGCCGCCGAGCCATCGCCGCCGAGCCCCTGGGCTCCGATCCGGGTTAAGGCCGCATCGGGTTGATGGTCTCAGCCCTGTCAGCAATGACTTACGCGGTGACCCCACAGGCTCGCGTTGATTCTCAGAATGGGAGAATTACCAAACCGGATTTTGAAGTGTGACAAGTTGATGGTCACACAAAGGCTGCACGAAACATACAAAAAACTTAGAAAGTTTGGCCATAATCCAGCTCGGAGAATAAAATATATCGGTGGCAGGGACGCCGTGGGTGAGTCTCACGCGTGGTGCCTGGGCCCTATGGGCGAGCAGGGTGCAGCAGCGTGCAACAGGGTGCAGCAGGGTGCAGCAGGGTGCAGCAGGGTGAAACAGGGTGGAGCAGGGTGCAGCAGGGTGCAGCAGGGTGGACGCAGGGTGGACGCAGAGGCAGCGTTCTGTGCAACGCTTTGACAGTTGCGTCTCTCGCTGCTTATTTAGCGAATGCTTTTTTACGCGTGGCTTCCACACAGAGTGCCAAAAACACAAGAACACATTCCTGCGGAGGGAGCTGGTAGGAACGTTGGGTTGCTCAGTCAATGGCCAGGGTCAATGGCGGCACCACGTGGTGTATTCCGCAAATATGCCCGACTTCCCACCCAGCCCCACCCCTCCCATTTTTGGATGCACGACGGACGGACACAATAATCCTCTGTGGGCTGGTGTAACCAGGAGGTTCCTACCAGTAAAAAAATATACACGTCAATGTTCTGTCAGTGGATGTCAACTCACGTACTAAATTAACTCAACTATTTTATTTTACCAGGTTAGGTACACTGAACTATTGCAGACGAGATCCGACGTAGCAACGCATTCAAGCTCGGCCGTAACGCGCCGAATTATCCACACGGGAGGAAACTGGAGTTCCCGGAGAAAGCCCACGCCTTGCGCAAGGGGGCAACGCTCTATCCCCGTACAGATGGAAACAGACGGCGATTGGTCCACCTGATGGACCGCCTTCTCCTGCTGAGCCAGGGTACGGCACCTCCTCAACGCCCACGGGAGAGGAGTTTACGCTGAGAACCCCGACACCCCGCTGAGAACCCCGACACCACGCTGAGAACCCCGACACCACACTAAGAACCCCGACACCACACTAAGAACCCCGACACCACGCTAAGAACCCCGACACCACGCTAAGAACCCCAACACCACGCTGAGAACCCCGACACCACGCTGAGAACCCCGACACCACGCTGAGAACCCCGACACCACACTAAGAACCCCGACACCACGCTGAGAACCCCGACACCACGCTGAGCACCCCGACACCACGCTAAGAACCCCGACACCACGCTAAGAACCCCGACACCACGCTAAGAACCCCAACACCACGCTAAGAACCCCGACACCACGCTGAGAACCCCGACACCACGCTAAGAACCCCGACACCACACTAAGAACCCCGACACCACGCTAAGAACCCCAACACCACGCTGAGAACCCCGACACCACGCTAAGAACCCCGACACCACGCTAAGAACCCCGACACCACACTAAGAACCCCAACGCCACGCTAAGAACCCCGACGCCACGCTAAGAACCCCGACACCACGCTGAGCACCCCGACACCACTCTAAGAACCCCGACACCACGCTAAGAACCCCGACACCACACTAAGAACCCCAACGCCACGCTAAGAACCCCGACGCCACGCTAAGAACCCCGACACCACACTAAGAACCCCAACGCCACGCTAAGAACCCCGACGCCACGCTAAGAACCCCGACACCACGCTGAGCACCCCGACACCACACTAAGAACCCCGACACCACGCTAAGAACCCCAACACCACACTAAGAACCCCAACACCACGCTAAGAACCCCGACGCCACGCTAAGAACCCCCACACCACGCTAAGAACCCCGACGCCACGCTAAGAACCCCGACGCCACGCTAAGAACCCGACACCACGCTAAGAACCCCGACACCACGCTGAGAACCCCGATGCCACGCTAAGAACCCCGACACCACGCTAAGAACCCCGACGCCACGCTAAGAACCCGACACCACGCTAAGAACCCCGACACCACACTAAGAACCCCGACACCACACTAAGAACCCCGACACCACGCTGAGAACCCCGACGCCACGCTAAGAATCCCGACACCACGCTAAGAACCCCGACACCACGCTAAGAACCCCGACACCACGCTAAGAACCCCGACACCACGCTGAGCACCCCGACACCACGCTAAGAACCCCGACACCACGCTAAGAACCCCGACACCACGCTAAGAACCCCGACACCACGCTAAGAACCCCGACACCACACTAAGAACCCTGACACCACACTGAGAACCCCGACACCACGCTGAGAACCCCGACACCACGCTAAGAACCCCGACACCACGCTAAGAACCCCGACACCACGCTAAGAACCCCGACACCACGCTAAGAACCCCGACACCACACTAAGAACCCTGACACCACACTGAGAACCCCGACACCACGCTGAGAACCCCGACGCCACGCTAAGAACCCCGACGCCACGCTAAGAACCCCGACACGACGCTAAGAACCCAGGCTACACAATGGCACTCACTTGCTCCAGGTGTGTCGGATGGGCCCCACGTTGGAGATGACGTAGCCCTCGTACATGTGGCGTCCCGCCGTCTCGTGCGTCGACGACGAGGAGGAGGAGGGGGGGTCGCCGCTGGCCTGGCTCGTCGTCACGTACTCCACCATGTTGTCGCTGTTGACGAAGATGTCGTCGTCGCCGTCGAAGATGAAGCGCGTGAGCGGGCACCGCTCGGCCATCCAGTCGAGGAAGAGCAGCTGCTTGAGCGTCAGGTTGTAGAAGGTGTCCAGGAAGTTCCACTGCACCACGTCGTTGTAGAGGCGCGACTCCTCCTGCAGCAGCGCGTTGAGACGCATGCGGCGCTCGCCCGGCACGTCGGCCACCACGCCGAAGAGGAAGACGCGCCGCACGATCTCGCCCTGCGGGGGCGGCGGCGGGTGGAGACGGATAATTGAGAAAAATTTAAACTTCCCACGGGCTGGAAGGCAGTGTGGTGCCGAGCGATCGCGAAATGTCGAGAATTTTAAAAATGCAGCGTTACTCCAATGGTACTAAAGCATGCGATGTCAATAACTGGGGGGGGGGGGGGGGGGGGGGGAGTGATAGCCCGGCACGGTCGTAGTTTTGTCCCGCGTTTCGGCTGTCTGCAGTTTTCCCCGTGCGTCACCCGGACGGTTTTGTTTTTTTTTGCACGTCTCCATCGAACCGAACAAACGGCGAATATTAACGCCCGCCGTAAAACACGTGGACAGAAAGGCTTCGTTTGCCGTGCAAACAGGGCACTCGGGCGAGACATTTTATCGCTCACAAAATACACACATGGTTTATCAATTCTACTTCGCTAGGTAAGGCGCCACTGAGCTATAAAGCTCCTTTTCAGAAGCGACCTGGCCACAAATGATAGCTCAACCAAGTGGCTTATCACGTGGACATTGAAATCGCAGCCAAATGACTCTGAAGGCACGTTTCTACATGTGGAGGGAGCAACCAGAGGACCCGGAGAAAAATCCACGCGACCACGGGGAGAGAGAGAGAGAGACACCGCAAACTCCAAATATACAGCAGCAGGCGTCAAGGGTCGGGATCAAACCCACGACCTCCTGCATACCAGGAGAGGTAGTTAACATCTCAACGGCGGCAACCCCTTGAGGTGGTCCTGGCTTCCGTCTGGACCGTGACGACACCTCCCTGTGGTGGTCACGTGGAATTTTTCTTCGGATTCCCCTCCGCTTTTGCACCCCCTCCACATTTAGAATCAACGCGCGTTCATTTCACTGCTTACTATTAGTTCCCCACGTGTGGTGATGAGATTGGCCACGATCGATGAGCTATCGTCATCATCATCATCATCGTGTGTGGCCAGGTGGCCTCCAAACAGCAGCTCATAGCTCAGTGGGCTTTACCCGGTGGACAACAAAAAATGGTTTGTTTCATCCCTCCGACTGTGCGTTCTTGCCGTGCCTCGTGGCAGTACGGTGTCCGACGTTTCGCTCGGCGTGCCGGTGGGGAATCTTCGACATGAACCGGGGAATTTACGCTTTCGGCAGCGGGATGGCGTGGAGACGCCGCTGTGGACGACGCGGTGCCATCAGGACGGAGCTCTCGCGTGGGGCTCGGACGTTTGTCAGTTGTGCAGCGCGTGAAGCCGTTTTCCCCTCATTTAGTCCTGCACCAGCACGGTCGTTTGTCAGGGCTTCTCAACCCTCTCCCATGCCGCACCCCACCATGTAGCCTGTGACGGACTGTTGGAGCAAGCGCTGTTAGCGAGCAGCACCTTTAAAGGGCGGACGGCACACGGGGGTCTGTGGGTGGGTGGCCACCACAACGTCCGGCCGCTCTGGTCTCCCTGGTGGCGATGTTCACAACACCGCACCAGTTACTTAAATTGAGGCCGAGTTGAACTAGGGGATGCCCAGAACACGGTTCAGATAATCGTCACCAGTTCTGCGCGCGAGCAGGAATCGAACTCGGTGAATGTGTATGTGTATGCACAAACATACAAAGATCACCCATATTGCCGTAGCATACTTTTGTGGCAAGATGCTGTTTGCAAGCACCTATGAAGGCCGCCACGGCACACGAGGGAGTGGGTGGCCAACGCCACGCCCGGCCGCCTTTGTCTCCACGGTGGCGATGTTTACACATCGCACCGGGTACTCATTTGAGGCCGAGTCGACCTAGGGCATGCCGAGAACCGGTTCAGATAATCGTCACCGGTTTTGCGCGTGGACAGGAATCGAACCCGGGTGGCCGGGTTCGTAGCGCAGAGTGCAAACCACGACGCCCATGCGTGCGAGTCGACTCCGTCTGGCTTGTCGGGAACAAGATAATCTCTGACACGAATATCTCCGAGTGTTTCCGGATGTCTCTCTGTCTGCGAGTCGAGTCATGTCTCTGTGTGTCTGTGAATCCGTGTCGAGCTCGACTCAATGAGTACCTGGTGCGGTGTGTAAACATCAGCCACTGGGGAGACAAAGGCGGCCGGGCGTGGTGTTGGCCACCCACCCCCTCGTGTGCCGTGCCAGCCTTTTGTGTTCCGTGTGTATGTGTGTTCGTGTGTATGTATACCGTTTTAGACGTGGTTTACCATCAGCCTCACCTGCCTGGGTATTTTGTACCATCGGACACTCCACCCCCACAACTCCCAATCGGTGATGGGGCAGTTGTGGAGAGAGTGGAGAGTTTCCCATACCTGGGCAGTGTGCTTATGACCGGCTCCAGTTTAATAGCAGAGGTCTCACTCCGAATCAGTCGAGCGGCAATATCTTTTCATCGGTTGCGCAACGCTGTGTGGAAGCTACCTGGTCTGTCGCTCCGCACTAAGCTTCAGGTCTTCTCGGCCACGGTCATTCCCTCCCTTCTCTACGCTTGCGAAAACGTGGACCCCCCTAATGGAACATCTTCGCTGGTTAGAAACATTTAGGCTAGCCTGCCTACGATCCATGCTGGGTTTAACCAGGCTGGATTATGCGAGGAGCTCACAAATCCTTGAAAGGTCTGGGCAAGGTCCCATCGGTGAGCTCCTCCGGCAGGCAAGGCTGCGTTGGCTAGGTCATGTAGCCCGCATGCCCAGCCACCGCATGCCGAAACGGCTTTTGTTCGTCCGGATCGAGGGGGCTAAACGGGCGCGGCACGGGCTAGAGAAGAGATGGAGTGATGTGGTACAGGAGGACGTGGAGCTGAGTGGACTTGCCGATTACTGGTACCAGCGGTGTCAAGATCGGCCTCTGTGGAGGAGGCTCGTGAAGGACGCTACTGGGCAGTTGGAGGTAGTCGCCCTCCAACAACAACGGAGGGCGGAGGAGCGACGCTCACAACAACGAGTGGAGCGCCGGGTGGCTAAAGCACAGCAGGTTGGCACAGTAGGGGGCACAGGTGGTGCATCAGTCAGTCATCTCAGTCATCTTAGTCAGTCGACCCGCGGCACTTGGGTCTGCCCCGTGACCTCCTGCCCGCGGACGTTCGACACTTCACGTGACCTCAAGGTGCACATGGCCTGGCATAAGCGTCGTGGTGACGTCACCGCCACTTAGTGGCGAATGGCGGTTGTTGTTATGTATACCGTGTGTGTGTTCCGTGTGTATGTGTGTTCGTGTGTATGTGTACCGTGTTTATGTATGTTCCGTGTGTATGTGTGTTCCGTGTGCATGTATACCGTTTTAGACGTGGTTTACGATCAGCCCCACCTGCCTGGGTATTTTGTACCATCGGACACTCCACCCCCACAACTCCCAATCGGTGATGGGGCAGTTGTGGAGAGAGTGGAGAGTTTCCCATACCTGGGCAGTGTGCTTATGACCGGCTCCAGTTTAATAGCAGAGGTCTCACTCCGAATCAGTCGAGCGGCAATATCTTTTCATCGGTTTGCGCAACGCTGTGTGGAAGCTACCTGGTCTGTCGCTCCGCACTAAGCTTCAGGTCTTCTCAGCCACGGTCATTCCCGCCCTTCTCTACGCTTGCGAAACGTGGACCCCCCTAATGGAACATCTTCGCCGGTTAGAAACATTTAGGCTAGCCTGCCTACGATCCATCCTGGGTTTAACCAGGCTGGATTATGCGGGGAGCTCACACATCCTTGAAAGGTCTGGGCAAGGTCCCATCGGTGAGCTCCTCCGGTAGGCAAGGCTGCGTTGGCTGGGTCATGTATCCCGCATGCCCAGCCACCGCATGCCGAAACAGCTTTTGTTCGGCCGGATCGAGGGGGCTAAACGGGCGCGGCACGGGCTAGAGAAGAGATGGAGTGATGTGGTACAGGAGGACGTGGAGCTGAGTGGACTTGCCGATTACTGGTACCAGCGGTGTCAAGATCGGCCTCTGTGGAGGAGGCTCGTGAAGGACGCTACTGGGCAGTTGGAGGTAGTCGCCCTCCAACAACAACGGAGGGCGGAGGAGCGACGCTCACAACGAGTGGAGCGCCGGGTGGCTAAAGCACAGCAGGTTGGCACAGTAGGGGGCACAGGTGGTGCATCAGTCAGTCATCTCAGTCATCTTAGTCAGTCGACCCGTGGCACTTGGGTCTGCCCCGTGACCTCCTGCCCGCGGACGTTCGACACTTCACGTGGCCTCAAGGTGCACATGGCTTGGCACAAGCGTCGTGGTGACGTCACCGCCACTTAGTGGCGAATGGCGGTTGTTGTTATGTATACTGTGTATGTGTGTTCCGTGTGTATGTGTGTTCGTGTGTATGTGTGTTCGTGTGTATGTGTGTTCGTGTGTATGTGTCTACCGTGTGTATGTGTGTTCCGTGTGTATGTGTGTTCCGTGTGTATGTGTGTTCCGTGTGTATGTCTACCGTGTGTATGTGTGTTCCGTGTATATGTGTGTTCCGTGTGTATGTCTACCGTGTGTATGTGTGTTCGTGTGTATGTGTGTTCGTGTGTATGTGTGTTCGCGTGTATGTGTCTACCGTGTGTATGTGTCTACCGTGTGTATGTGTGTTCCGTGTGTATATGTGTTCCGTGTGTATATGTGTTCCGTGTGTATGTGTGTTCCGTGTGTATGTCTACCGTGTGTATGTGTGTTCGTGTGTATGTGTGTTCGTGTGTATGTGTGTTCGTGTGTATGTGTCTACCGTGTGTATGTGTGTTCCGTGTGTATGTGTGTTCCGTGTGTATGTGTGTTCCGTGTGTATGTCTACCGTGTGCATGTGTGTTCGTGTGTATGTGTGTTCGTGTGTATGTGTGTTCGTGTGTATGTGTCTACCGTGTGTATGTGTGTTCCGTGTGTATATGTGTTCCGTGTGTATGTGTGTTCCGTGTGTATGTGTGTTCGTGTGTATGTGTGTTCGTGTGTTCGTGTGTATGTGTCTACCGTGTGTATGTGTCTACCGTGTGTATGTGTGTTCCGTGTGTATATGTGTTCCGTGTGTATGTGTGTTCCGTGTGTATGTGTGTTCCGTGTGTATGTGTGTTCGTGTGTA